CCCCAAAACCCCAAAACCCCAAAACCCCAAAACCCCATTTTGGAAATAGAGATTGAGGTAATTAGTAATAAAGTTAATCATCTCCTTCCCCTTCTTTTTTGTTGTCTTCATCTGTATCTGGCTCCAGAGGTTCTTCAGGAGCTTCCAAAGGAGTTGGTTCTGGTTGTTCTGGGTTCTCTTCTGGATCTTCAATCACGTCAGGAGGAGTTGTTGGGTTGTAAGCAACATTTCCTTGTTTTAGTCCATAACCAATGTAAATATTAGTGTATTGGCCACAGTAAGCAACAGTGTACGCTCCTGGCCATCTTAGGGATTTGATAACATTAGCTGAATAAGTGACAGTTCCTTCATCTTCTCCATCTCCATTGTAAGGTTGATTGTCTCCAACTACCTTCATGAGCCAGGCAGATTCGAGAGGAGGAATTGGAGCATCTTCATTGATGCCCATTAATGTCTCTAAGACTTTGTCTTCCTCTTCTAGCTTTGCCATTTCTTCTTCAACTTGATCTTCTGGGACATTTGGAGGTAAGTGAGTGATTCTTCCAGCATTCAAAATATTTGGATAGTGGTGTCCCCAAAGCTCATTATTGTTTAGCTCATCTGTGCCAGGCATTGTGAATTCTTCAGAGTAGACTAGAACACCTTCAAAGTTCTCCTGATCTTCATGTGGCTCAAGCATTCCTTTAGGAAACAGAGTAGTCGCATGAGAAATTCTAGCAATCTGAGCTCTTAAGAAATGTCTCTCTTTGCCTGGGAAAGGAGGACTTGTGAGAACATCAGCATTTAGATCTCCAGAAAGAATATGTTTAAACTGCCTAGATGCTTTAATATGGTCAGGATTCACATCTGGTAGTTGAACAAAATCAGTCAAGATATTGTCAGTTGCCCAGTATACATATGCATTTGTTCCTTTCCCTCTGGCTTCAAAGTTAGCAGGAATGTCAACTTCCACTACATCATCTAACTTTCCTTCTATAATATAGTAATCTCTCTTGGTTGCAAATATTTTACCCCAGAAGCGGAGGCTACTGGCACCAGAAAGCTGTGCTAACTTCTGAATTGCTTTATAGATTCTATAAGTCTCTGAATCTCCGAAGGAAATGCCTGCCCATTGAAGAATTCTGGCTTGCTCATATATGTCTCCCAAAGCACAATTGCTAACCTTACTGACGAGCTGTTTATCACCGGAGGAAAGATTGAGCTTGTTGTTTAGAAGAGTTCTGACCTCTTCAACATATCAATCTAACATTGCTTGGGCTTCATCCTCCTTCAAGTTCTGAATCTCATTGAGAGGCAAAGGATTTTTAACTTTTAATTGAGTCTTCTTAATTAAAATTGAAATGTCTTCAAATTTCTGGTAAGCCTCATGTTTATGAGTAGACAGTATCCTATTAATAATCTCAGTGATGTGAGAAAAGAGGTCAGTCTTGACTGCTCCCAGATCCTGTGGCTTCTCAAGGGTCTTCTTCAAATCCTTGAAAGTTTCCGATTCAGCACTCATTTTATTTAAACTGATTCAAATTTATTATAATAATTAGGGGTTTTGGGGTTTTGGGGTTTTGGGGTTTTGGGGTTTTGGGG